AACCAAGTAATGAAGATGGGTAAGTAGTGTGGCCAGTGTCTTGGGTCTGAGTTGGGCATGAGTTGATCTAGGTAAGCGGAAAAGTGCTCTGACGCCAAACTGAGGTCAATAAGGAAACTAGCAAGGTGAAATGTGTATCGAGAAAGCAAGTTGCTTTGAGAACAGATGGAAAATGAATGCTTATGTCTGAGCCTACCTAATAAAGCTTGAGAAGCCATAAAGATAGCGAGCTGAGCATAAAGCAGACATGGAAATATGCACCTGGGGCAGTGTACGGAGCCCTGGAACGCACAAAATAGGAACAAGAGGTCATCTTTTCTTTTTCTTTTTTTTCCCCTTGATTTCTTCATCAACCAGGGCAAGACTCTTTACGGTGCCCGAGTCGAGCTATCAACCTTCTCATCACAGGCATTTGTTAGAAATCATACGAGCAAACACAGATGTAACTGTTTTTCAAAATTGTAACCTTTCATTAGGGAACCTTAAAGCTGGAGGAGAAATGGAAGCAGTCATTCCTGTCACTGTCTGGTGTCTGCAGAACCTTGGTGGCTAATGGGTTGAGTGAAGGGCTGCTAACCAAAGGTCAGTGGTTCAAACATATCAGCAGCCCCGGAGCAGAGGGAGATGAGGCTGTCTGCTCCTGTAAGGTTTTCCAGAAATGCTATGGAGTAGTCTTACTGTGTCATGTGTCAAAGGGACTCCAGGGCTTTGGTTTTGAGGAAGGGGAGTCTGGAATCCCATGGGAGTGCTCGATTGTCACCCCAGTTGGTCACTTGCACATGAAGAGCTTGTTCTCGCCATCCTCTGTATCTTCTGAAATATCACAAGCTCTCTCCTGATTCATTCCTTCATTTGACAGATAAGTATGGGGTAGTTTTGTTGTTGGTGTTAGGATTACTGTCTTATTCCTCCAGGCACTGTTAGGCAGGAAGTGCCTGGAGTCCTAAGACAGGTGCATTTCCTGTCCTCATGAAGCTTATGTCCTATTAGTCCATTCAGTATGTACCAGTTGTTGATGTTTAGTAAAAATGGGTATAATTATTTTCTCTTAGAGACATACCCATTTGCAATATACCTTTGCAACAACTTCCATCGAGAGGTAAAATCTATGTCCCCATCTACTGAATCTTGGCTGTCATGGGCTCATGACTTGATGATCAGATAGCATGGGAGAGACATGTGTGCCCGTTCTGAGCTTGGGCCTCAAGAGATTTTAATCTCTTCAACCTCTCCCTGTCTCTCTCTCTGATCCTTGTGACCATCACGAGAACAGGCCCAGGCTAACATGCTAGGAGATAAGAGTCCATGTGGAGTGAACCATTCTTGCAGAGCGAGCCATCCCTGATCAGCTAGCCAACAGCTGAACCAGCATGTGACCACCAGGTTATTTCAGAAAAGACCATAAGAACCATCTGGCCCCGCCCCGCCTACATGACAACTATCCAGCACTGTAAACTAAACAAACGGTGAGTGTTTTAAGTCACTGAATTTTGGAATGAGTTGGTACACAGTGAAAGCTGAGTGGGCAGCCTTATGTATGACCCAAAGGTTATTTGGGGCACAGGATTTTTCATGTGGTTTATCAGATTACATGAATCATTGCCTCCACTTCACTTTGCACGGTGTAGACATGGTCTCAGTGTCCAGTTGTCAGAATACAGACACCCTGGGAGGGTTTGATCTTGGACTTTTGCTGCAGAACATGAAGTTGACTCCAAGGGTCAGTGACCAAGAGACAGACCCCTCAATGAGATGGATTGACACAACAGTTGCCACTGCGGGGTCAGGATAACAACCATCATGAGCATGGTGCAGCACCGGACAGTGCTTTGTCCAACTCGATGGTACCCACAGCAGCAGCGGTATGCTCGGAATGGGATACAAATACATAGAGTGATACATTTCTCTGAGACAATACAAATGATATAAGTAGAACACAAACCTCTACACCCAGTAATAGACTTCAAACATGCCATTAAAAAGTTAATCAACTTTGTTTGCTACAAACACAAGACAGCAACATAAAAGTGACTTGCCAGTTTCTGCATTTGAACAACTGTATGTCCTACGGATACAGCCTGGAAGTCTCTGATTCCTCTTTCAAGTCCAACCACAATTTTGATAAATGCATGAAACCATCCCCAAGGGCTTGTGTGATTATTCCAGATGTCTGCGTGTAAAAGGCCTTAATTCTAACCGTGGCACACCCATGAAAGAGGTCAGCGAACGGGAACCTTGATTCATCTTCATTTTCAAATATGTCAGTGTCTTTTCCTCTTTTCCTGGCAGCCTCCCTTCTCTGTCCGGCCCTCCCCGCAGGCATTTTGGGAAAGCTGCCAATTTCTGAGATAATGTGCTTTTGCTCTTCTTGGCCACTAACGGCCCCTTCACAGAAGCAACATTGAAGAGAAGACCTAATTGGATATGGTTTTTTTTTTTTTTTTGGATTGTTTTTAAAACCAAACTTCTGAGCTACTTAGGATAGAACTTCTCTGATTCGTTTCTTTCCTCTTAGATCTGGCAGTGCTGGAAACACACATGTGAAAATGATGATGTCAGGGTCATGCGGGGGCCACTAGAGGACCATCACAGGTGGCTCAGGAGAAGTGGCGCAGCAGGCAGAGCAGGAGCCTGATCTGCAACCAGGGCCGGTGAGGGATAATGTTTCAAAGGGTCAGTATCACTAGAGCTGCTTCCTAAGAGTCCAGGAGGAGCCTTGGTGGCATAGTGGTTATGCATTGGGCTGTCACAACAAGGACAGAAATTTGGAGCCGGCAGCTGCTCCTTGGGAGAGAGATGGGACTTTCTTCTCCCATAAAGAGGTAGTCTAGTCTTGGACACAAACCAACTTGGAAAGCCACAGGGCCAGTTCTACTCTATCCGATAGTGTTGCTGTCAATCACTATCGACTCGATGGCAGTGAGTATGGTTGGAAGGAGTCTGGCAGGAGAAAGCACACATTTTAATAAGAAAGTTAGGATCCCTCGAAGTGGTCTCCATTTTGCCTTGGTGAATTTGAATCTTTCAACCTTGAGGTAGGACAGAGAGTTTTAAATTGCATCCTCAGATTTGAGAGCATCTTCTTAAATCCCTACCCTCTTTGAGGTTACTCAGATTTTGATAGCTGCTGTAAAGCTAATGAGCTTACTAGAAGGAGGAGATACAGAGATCTAGATGTGGAAAATAATGAAGGAAAAGGAGGCGGAGTAGGAAACATTCTCTCTGGCTTCTGTTTCGGAAATGGAATTAGAAGCGAGACATAATAAGTTAATAATTTCCCTTTTAGTTGTTCAGTGGGTCTGCCATCATTACCTCATACTCTCCAGGGGGTGTGAGTTCCTGGACTGATTGTCGCAGGGGTATGAGAGTTAATGATGCCAATGGCTGTCCAGCTGGACCATATTGCGTTAGTCTGTGGTAAGTCAGAAACAGGAAGCCTGGCCAGGGGTGAGTGGCAGTCAGAGGGGGCAGGGTGGGACATTGAGATAGTGAGCAGTGAATAGAAAGCTGCTGTACTGGGTCCTGCCCAAACCCTCCCCCTGGCTCCGCAATAGGAGGAGCTCAATTCCAACTCATTTTATGGAAGAGGCCCTCTGGCCGTAAAGATCTGGACTCCTTATGCGAGAATGAAGTTGGGATGCTGACACATAATTTGGAAAGTCCCTTGATTGAAAATGAATAGCTAAGTCATATTTCCCAATTACTCTCTAGGTCAGGTTCCAAATCTTGAAAGCCAGTGGTCTAGCTAAGCTAATATCCATTTGACTTATTTTTGCTCTTTCCTCCTCCTGTTATTCCCATATGATTAAAGACTATGTTAAGTCCTGAATCTTCGGTGTAGACACCCACCTTCCGGGTATAGGAATACATCTTCCAACACATGGGCATTCTTATTATGGATTACAATGATAACTGTAATAAAATTAATCCAAATGTAATAATTAATATATTTGCTGTTTGCTCTAGAATTTGAATATCAAAATGTACAAACCATTGGTTTTTACACGTTAGGAATGGCTATCTATCTGTACATATATCTGTAGTTTATGTATTTCTTCCTTTGTCATGGCACTGACTTGTTGGGAACGACTTATACCCATGACCTCTGTGATAGTGCTGGCCTTTTCTCTTTAACCAGAGAACTAAAACGAGAATGATTTTTGAGAAATGTGATATGTATCTTGGTGTTACATGCAGAAAACTCCTAAAATTCCTGGGGTGGGGCAGGGCAGGAAGAATTCTAAACCATTATGACATGTACAATATAAAAAAGTAATTACTTTTTCAAAATTGAAAAGATCATGAGGATAGTAGCTAGTGGATTTCTGCCTGGTATATCCCCATATCTAGGTGAATGTACACAATTAAATATACAGCACTCAATTTGCATAGCCAAGTGCCTCTCCCGTATACCTACATCACCATTTGGTCTCTGTTCACTCATTAGCATGCTGGACCTCAATCTCTATTCCTGGATGCCCTTCCCAAAGTTTAATAGGTACCTTCACTCACTGCCATGGAGTCAATGCCGACTGAAAGTGACCCAAAGGACAGGATAGAACTGCCCCTGTGAGTTTCTGAGACTTTAGCTCTTTATGAGAGTAGACAGCTCTGTTTTTCTCCCAGAACATGGCTGGTGGTTTTGAGCTGCTGACCTTGCAGTTAGCAATCCAATGCATAATCAACACTTTAGATGAGTATAATTTCTATGTCACCCCAGTAAGTCTACTTCAGTCTAGGGCCCACATACCTGATGGTTAGTTCGATCCACGGTATTGGCAGTGGAGGGGTGGTCTCTCGTGTTCTGACGAATTCGAGTGGAGTTTTGCTGCTCAATGGTGGAGGAGGTTGGGATACAGAACTCTCGGAAGCATCGCTTGAAGTTTTCATCCAGAAATGCATAGAGGACCGGGTTCAGGCAGCTGTTTGTGTAACCCAGAGCGATGCAGAAGTGCCAGGAAACTGTCTGGAAAGTCGTCTCTGGGATGGTGATCAAGGCTTTAATGATGACGTAAATGTGAATGGGGGTCCAGCAGACGATGAACACAGCCACAACCACCAGTACCATCCGGGTAATTCTGCGCAGGTTCCTGTCCTTCTCTTTGGAGCCAGACAGCATGCGGACACTCTTGAGGCGTAAGATCATCAGCCCATAACACACGGTGATGATGAGGACGGGCATGATGAAGGCAAAGATGAAGACACAAATTTTCAGCAGGTTTTCCCAGTACCAGGTTGGGTGAGAGAATGACAGGGTGCAGTCAATGGAACCTCGAAGAAAAAGACAACAAAGAGGAGTTAGCAGCAACTTCTGATGATGCCACCTGGCATTGATATTGCCATTTTGATTCTTAATTTATAGCCTTGACTGGGACAAACCTTGAGGTAGTCCTACGTAAGTCAACCATGGAAAACTAAAGAGATCGTAGAAGAAACTCAACTTTCTTGATTTCAGAAAAAGTTACCTTCATTGACATTTTCCAAACCCCCCATTTTGAGTTCAGTTTGATCACACTATGAAGTTTTCGCTCAGCCAGCAATTAGGGACCTCTCAGTATGGGCTAAACCTTTGTATGATCCCTGTTATTTGAAAAAAAATAATTGATGTTCCAAATGTATAGGCTACTCCATTTAGTGGGTATTTATGATTCATTTTTTAATGGATAATTCATTATTCTGATTGGTCTAGAAAGGAAAATTAGTCATGTAGGTCACCACTTATGATTTTTAGAATAAGACTGAATATATCACTCTTAGGATGTAAGTCCCAATAGTGCTCTTGGGAGCACTATGGCCTTGTTTACACACCACTGTGCTGAAGGCCGTCCAAAGCCATTGGCAGCAAATGGCGTGAAACCTGTGAGCTGGAACTCGACGAGAGGACCTTGCTTTTCTAGATCTGGCAAGTTTTCCACCTTTCACAGGGTGTGGTTTTACCACTTTTCAACTGCTCAGTTTAGGAGAAAATATCTAGGTTTTCTGACAGGTCCCAGTTTCCACAGGTTTCATTGTAGATTGTATGTATATTAAAGTTTGTTGGGGTTGAATGACAAGGACATTTTTATAATTAAAAATATCTAAAAACATTGGGCTAGAAAAAGTATAGTTAAAATATCAGTGTTCCTAAGAGATTACCTGTTGCTATTGAGCTGATTTTTTGATTCATCTTATAATAAATCACAGCAGAAATGCCCCATGGTGTCTCCAATGCTATAATCTTTCTGGAAATAGACAAGTGCATCTTTCTCCCTTGGAGCAGCTGGTGGGATTCAGCTGCTGGCCCTTTAGTGATCAACTGAGAGTTTAACTACAGTGACACCATCAACACTCTTTGAGAGGATGACATTGTCTGAGTCACTAGAAACTCTCTTCCCACACCTCAGAACCGTGACATTGCTTACCATGCCTGTATTTCGTTGTGGCCATGAACATGACTGGAAGACCAATAGCTGAAGATAGGATCCAGTTGCAGACATTGACAATTTTGGCATTGCGCGGGGTCCGGAAATCTAGGGCCTTGACTGGGTGGCAGACTGCAATATAGCGATCAACACTCATGGTGCAGAGAGTGAAGATGCTGGTGAACATGTTATAATAATCGATGGAGATCACAATCTTGCAAAGGATGGTTCCAAATGGCCATGTTCCCATCAGGTAATTGACACTCTGGAAGGGCAGGGTACTGGTCGCCAAGGCATCTGCCAGAGCAAGGTTGAAAATATAGATGTTGGTGGCCGTCTTCATTTTGGTGTATCTAGAGGATACAGACAGAGCAAAGATGGACTAAGAAAAAGGAACCAATGTGAACTATAAGTAAGATTCCCATAATTAAAACGTGGTGTGCATGACTGGAAAGCATCCGGCACAAAGGAACCCTTTTCCGGTATGTGTATATTTTCAGCCACATATCTAAGGAAAGGGAAGGTAATTACTAGCTATCAGGTTGCTAGTCTGACCTGTGAAATGGCTACAAATATAGCCACATGATTGTGCATGGAGTTATTTTTTGTGCCGGGCACCGTGCTAGGTGCTATAGTTACAGAGAGTTCATAGTTGAGTTTGGAGACACAAACTAGGTAATAATTAATTTTAATTATAGACATATAAAAAGTGTATCTGTATATGTATGTCTATGCACATAGGCATCCCAAACCAACCCCAATACCATCAAGTCAACTGCTCCCTCCTGATAACATGTCAAAAATATTTGACAAAGTCTTGCCAACCTCTTGGCTAATGAGCACATTAGTTGTACACATACCAAAGCAGATTTGTTCCTTCACCTGACAAGTCAATGTATTCAATTCCAAATGTATTCTTTACCACACCATAATTCAAAGGCATCAATTCATCTACAGTCCTTCCTAGTCATTACCCAGCTTTCATGTAGATATGAAGCAACTGAAAATACCATGACTTGGGTGAGGTGCACTTGTTCTCACAGGAACATCTTGGACATCTTAAATAAATAGACTTAAATTTAAATAAAACAGATTGCCAGACATTTTTTTTCCAGAGTGCTACTGAGTGGGCTGAACTTTGGGTTAGTATAGTATTCTGGAAACTTTGGTATTCCTTCTTGGAAGCAGGAGACACTCTCTCTGCTCACTCCCTGGGAGACATTCCTGCTGAGAAGACACATGGCTGATGGAGTGAGGCCTCTGGAGCCAGAGAAGCCACGTGGCAACCCCTGCCAGCGCTGAGATGCTTACACCACTGGATCCACAAGACTTCCCACCCATTGGTCTGTGACCTTCCTGCATTCAGTGTCATTGCATGTGTTGTATGAATCTCAAGAGGACTTTATAGATTGGTATCAGACATATGGGCTAATATGGAACTTATGGACTTGATTTGGACTGGGCTGGGGTGTTTTCTTTATAGTCAACTGCTCTTGTATATAAAGCTCTTTCTTATATTCATATGAGTGTCTATGGATTTGTTTCTCTAGTCTACGCAGACTAACCCAGGTGGTTTATGTGTTGCTATGATGCTGGAAGCTACGCCACTGACATTCCAAATGCCACCAGGGCCACTCAAAGTGAACAGGTTGCAGCAGAGCCTTCAGACTAAGAACAGACAATGAAGAAGGAATCGGCTGCCCACTTCAAAAGAAGTAGACACTGAAAACTTTATGAATAGCTTCAAAAATAGCTTCATGGTCAGATACTGAAGGTCTAAGGAATAGAAGAACATTGTCAGAGAGTGCCAGAGGGTGGGCACATGCATCAAGGTTGCATCCTCTCACCATACGTATTCAGTTTTATGCCGAGTCAATAATCAGAGAAGCTTAATTAAATGAAGAGAAATGTGGCAGCAGGATTAGAGGAAGGCTTATGAACAACCTGCAGTCTGCATATGACAAAATCTTGCTTGCTGAAAGTGAAGAGGACTTGAAGCACTTGCTGATGATGATCAAGGATTGCACCCTCATTATGGATTAAAACTCAATGCAAAAGAAATAAAAATCCTCGCAATTGGACCATAGGTAACACTATGATAAATGGAGAAAAGGTTGGAGTTATCAAGGGTTTTGTTTGCTTGGACCCACAATCAATGATCTTGGAAGCAGCAGTCAAGACGTCAAAAGATTTGTTGCATGAAGTAAATCTTCTACACAAGACCACTTTAGAGTACTGAAAATCCAGGATGCTACATTGAGGACTAAGGTGTGCCTGACCCAAGCCGTAGTATTTTCAATTGTATCATATGCATGGGAAAATTGTCCATTGAATAAGGGAGAACAAAGAACAATCAATGCTTTTGAATTGTGCTGGAGAAGAATGTTGAAAGTCAAATAATGAGTGTCAAAACTCAAACCAATCTGACTTGGAAGAAGTAAGGCCAGAGTGCTCCTTAGAGACAAGGATGACAAGAGTTTGTCTTACATACTTGGACAGACTGTCAGGTGAGACCAGTCCCTAGCAAAAGACATCGTGCTTGGTAAAGTGGAATAACAGCAAAAGAGTGGAAGTCCCTCAAGGGGATGGCTTGACAGACAATGCCTGGGCACAGAGATAGGAACAATTGTGAGGACAGCGCACGACTGGGTAGGGTCCCTTCTTCTGTGCACAAGGTCACTATGGGTCAGAACCCACTGGATCGCACCTAACAACAACAATAACCTACAGACATCTTGGCTGACTGAGATAGATTTTTATCTATTTATTTATTTTAATTTTCAGTTTTTGCAGGGAGTTCACAATTTATTTCTGATACCCAGAACCCTCCTGAACCAGTACAGGCAGCGAAACGTCTTTTCCGTTACGGACTCCCTCTGACAAGATTCACACCATCAGAAGTTCTTGAGGAGGATGCCGTCCACCGGGGCCTGCCAGAGGATGGAATCATCGGACTCGCCCATTCTGCGGATGGCCCGGCAGATAGAATAGGTTTTAAACTGGCCTTTGAACCTGCCGGTAACCTTGTCAACCACGGCCGCATTCATCTGAATGGACGCGTGGTCCTTGGCGCTGATGATGCGGTTGCCGGGGGAGACTTTTCGTGGCCTGTACAGGTCCAGAAGTCGCCGGCTCGTTCTGCATGTTGGGGCCAGGCCTGAGGACGCCATGCCGAGCCGAGCAGAGGAAGTAAGATGGATTTTTAATTTCCACAGACACAAGCTTAAAGTTTTCAAGGTGCTTGCCAATCATGCTGAGATTAAACGTTGCCCAATCCATGACAAGGAAGTTCAAACGCCTTTTAAAATGATTTTTATTGAAATATAGTTGATGAAGAATTAGATAGCATAGAAGTATACATTTTGTTAAGTTTTAACATATGTAAGTGGGGTAATTCAGTAGTCACGATCTGTCTTCTTTCACTCAACATGTTTTTTTGAGGCCCATTCACATTGTTGTATTATCAATAGTCCATTTCTTTTTATTGCTGAATGATAATCTCACTGTATAAACACAACATAATTCATTGACATACTACCTATGGAAATTGAGCTGTATTCACCAACTAAGAGCAATTGAATAATTGCTGCAAAGTTCATGCTCTCCAGGCAATGGGGATCATCTCAAGATTTTGTCAAAATTTATTTTTCCTTACTTGACCAATTGTTGTGTATATAGTATTAGTTTCATGTCTTCAAAACCAACAGGAATTAAAACTACCAAATAGAAGAGATAGGGCACAAGGACAGCAATAATACATAGATTTTTCCTGATGGTTGAAGGATATCTTATAATCATTGAACCTCTGTTGTTTTGAACACTTACATCTATTTACTTACATAATCGTATCTCAGTTTCATTCCAGGTCAC